CTTTTTCTCCCCCCCCCTCCCAGAGGACATACCATCAGCGTCCACCTCGTTGATCATATCCTGCAGCTCCTCCTCCGTGGGCGCTTGTCCCTGTGACCTCATGACTGTGCCCAGCTCACTCGTCGTGATGAAACCGTCGCCATCTTTGTCGAACAGCGAAAATGCTTCTTTCAGTTCTGGGAAAGTTTAGCGCAATGTGACATTAAACTATAGCGGCATCGTATAGCAATGCTAAACGAATGCATATTTCAACAGTGTATATGAACGCTGTAAAAGTGTAACTTAACGGTTTTTTCTGTCGTGCACTCTGTCTTTCGGTCACAAATTGTCTTTTATTCAGGAGAAATTTTTTACAGTAAATTATTAAATAAGATGCGTTTGATAATTAATTTGCCTCTTGCCAGAATAATTTGAGAGAATTTTTGAACTAAAGCATACTGTTCAAATTGTGGCTGTCCCACTGAAATATTCAGCCACTCTTCAGATCAGACTTCATTCCAACTCTCTGCTACAAGCGACAAATCTGGACCCTCAATAAAGCGCAGCAAAATAAAATAACAGCTCTTGCTAAATGAACTGTTTTGGAAAAACGTTAAATATCATTTGAAGGGACAGGCAAAGAAACCCTCCCCCCCCACCAGTAGGTAAGCGTCGAATTGAGCATAAAATACATCGAGAGACGACAAAAGGTAATTTGGATACGTCATGAGAATGGGACCTCAACAGCCAGCCTCTAGGTCCTACGTCATAAGATTTGATGGTTTCAAGGCAAAAGGAATATACAGAATAAGATGGACCTATGGAGTCAAAGAGACACTCCAAAGGAGCAAAACGACGATCCAAACAGCAACACACCTGGACCAGGTCCACCAATTGTATTTCCCTTCGACACCTCGTGGAATAAGAGGATAGAAAAAAGTAGAGAGTATAGAAAGTTGGGTCGCAGGCTGACAATTTGGCGAACTCATGGGAGTTCGATGACAGAATCGTAGTGTAATTCCGAATTTGGCTCTTCACCCTCCCGGGATACTTTTCACTCTCAGCTTTGTGTTCTGACAGAGAACAACGCACCCCGTCTTCTATTTTTCTTCAACGTAGGATTTTTACGGCCCCATCGACACAATTAAAATTATATTATTCAGGAGTCAGGGGAATCCACTCTGCCTGTCAGGGCCAACTCGGGGCGAGAACGATGTCATCCCTGCAGAAAGATAGAGATACTTGATACAAATTTTCCCCATATTAGAATTGAATTCAAGTCTTCTGCGTTCTACAGCAATACACCACAGACGCCGGTGTATTTGAACTGACCTACGGCATGCCCAGTAGGACGGATATATATGTAAGTAAGTGTAATGGTTTAACGCCCCCATCAACGTAATTAGGTAATTTAAGGGGCGGGACTTCCGAATTTTAAAGTCCACATCCTGTAGGACCGAGCCAAATGGGTTGAGAGCCTTGAAAACTCCACATAACAACTTGAGTTGAAGAACGCCTAGTCTGGGATTCGAACCAGGGCCACCCACTTCGTAGTCCAGCTTGATACCAACTGAGTTGACAGAGCGCTCTAGTCGGACATTAAGCTTTAAAAGACCCCAACCCCACAACAAAACAGGTGGACCACAAATATTTTTAGGTTCCAGTGTACTTGACGGTCTAAACAAAAGGACCAGCCTGACATCTGCTCTACTTGAAAGTGTTACTTGTCTGCAACAATCCACAACCATGTATGGTTTGGGTTCGAGTTGGTCAGTAGAATAGTTAACTGCCAAGTGGAACATCTGTCACTATCAGACTGGTCCGGTGGTAGACCGTCAAATTGACTGGCACTCTTTTCTTGCCTACCTGTTATTTGCTCTTTACTCAACTCTGATTCCTGAGGAAAAGAAAGAGCGGGCGTTAAAAAAAAAGAAATGAGGAAAACGTCTCTCATTCGGCTTTGTAGCTCGTGTGCATAGGTTGGTGGCTGAAACGCCTGAAACTTTACTTCTGAGAGCCTTTTTGGTAGAAGTAGAAGCCCCAAAATGTTGTTACAAAACTCTGGACTCATTCACTCACTCACTCATTCGTTAATTCTCTCTTGCTCTCTCTCTCTCTCTCTCTCTCTCTCTCTCTC